TTCAGAAATGATCGGTATTTGAGATATAAATAAAGGTTTTCCTTTCAATGGTATACGTTACGAACACTTTGTAAACGAACTAGCCCCAGACTCTACTCCCCCCTCCCCCCGCTACCCCTACCCCCGCTACCCCTCCCTGCCACTCATGCCTCTACCTGAGCTGGCTCTTGCGGTACTAAATTTTGTGACTGCGGCCCGCCGCCTGAGATGAGTTCAAGACCCCAGCCTTGATGACACCTATGGCGTGCAGGACTACCCTATACACCAGCTTGTCGGCCACGGAGAAGTTGATGTGGGATTTACAGACTGGTTTCATTACAGGTTTCTTCCAGCCTTTGCGAATGAAAAACTGCACAACCATGCTTAACGGTTCCTTAAAACCAATTAATGAAAAAAAAATACTCTTGCAGTACTTGTGGTATGAGCTCGGCCTATATATAGCTTTCAGGAATGCGCCTTTCTGATAAATCGCGATGAATTAGTCGTGTATCATAGGATGTGGCAAATCAGGGAAAAACTATATATGAGCCACTTAAATGAAGGTTCTCGCATGCTTTTAGACATTACATCGTGGTTTCGGCTGTATGTGCTTGTTTTTTTTTAGATTTCTTGCAAACGTTGCTAAACTACTTTCCGCAACCATATTCAGACAGCCATTTGTACGATATAGAGAATAAAAATAAGCGAAAGACAGGGTTGATCAAGGCTGAGCTTGGTAGGCTACCTTAAACTGGGAAAGGGGGAAGGCAAGTTAGGGAGGACGATAAAAAAGCCAGTTTCAACTGACGTACCGGTTAATTCCACGTTTGAGATCACTGACGATAAATCAGCCCGATGTCTTTGCAACAAAAATGCAACAGCGCTTTTGTTACTTTTCGGAACTGCCCAATATGGTCCCAACATATTCTAGACAGTGAAAGCGCTTCCGTCCAAGTGATTTAGAGCAGTACGGAGGAGAGGCATCTCGTTCGCGTAAGTGAGGCAACAACACAATATTTTCATCGACGGCATAGTCGCTGTACTTGACGTTGTCGGCCATCTAAATCTTAAATTAAGAGTTGTTAGTGAATGCCACATCCAGACGCCCACTGCACAACACTACGTTTTTTTATCAGAAAAGACCAGGTAGTAGACGCAGTCGTAGAGGTGAGCCGAGGCTCGAGAGAATAGAATTGATAGTGTGTCAATTTTGACGTTTGCCACAACTGTTGTGTCGTGCTCTGCGCCAGCTTTCGAGCCGCGACAATACTTGATAAAGGTATAAAAACAAGGTTTCTTTATGCGTGTGCTTTTCTGGCCGCTTCGTCTGTGAGGTTGTTGCCGGAGATGCCACAGTGACTTAGTAGCCACCGAAACCCAGTGTTGTGACCCTTTTCAAACACATGGTGCAGCATTTCTCCCTAACAAGTTGTTATCAGCGACGAGGTGCCGATGAAAGGCATTGTAACCTTTGAGTCTCAGAATACTGCCCATCAATTAGCCGATTGTGTCTTGATACAGCTGCACAACACCTCACATGAAAACAAACTCTAGACCTTAAACAAGCTTAAATGGAGGTTGGTGTGTCACGATGGGATGAAGGTGGCACGCCAGTGTAGCTGGTATGGGATGGTAGAGCCATCTGTGTATCTTGATCCGAAGGTCGCAGATTCGGTCTGTGCTGGCGGCCAGTTGTCTTTTAGTACACTTTGCATTCTTCGCGTCTATAACGAATAATGCAATATAATTAAAACAGTACAATTAACGTCCTCTATACCGTCTTTCACTCCATTATCTGCTGGTTTTCATTAAGGTTGGGTCAAACAGAAGCGGGCCGTCAAAATTACCTTACTTGATACAACTTTTTTTAGTGTTCCACACACTAGAGGGACGTTCTGAGGTTACTTGAAAAAAGTAACCGCAGTAAAAGTAACATCATTTTCTCTATTTGTAAAATGCGAACAAACAGTGCCGACGGTATCATAGCAAGGTTCCAGCAACATTGCAAAAAGTTAACCAATTATTAGTTTGACACAATTTTAAAATAATGGTATTGTGTAGTCTCTTCCCCACTGGTATACGCCAAAGAGTCCCCCTTCCTATTCGTGTGAACGAATGAGTGCTTCTATCAGATACATATACTCAGGTATATATCTGGTACTAGTGCAACTGATTTATCGGGACTGATATCCGACAAGGATGACTTGTCTCTATTGACCTGATAAGACTAACCAGCCAAGATAATTTTTTGTAAAGTCTCACTCTAAATGGTCTTCGCAGGATTTGATGTGTTTCATGCTCAAACGAATCGTGCGGGGGGCACAGATTGTAGACGTTCGAGGCACACTCTCCAAAGCACCATCAATATATCGTATCTCAGCTGTATGCTTTTCGCTCTCTCACTGCCAATTCAGTGCAAACCGGCTCAAGCAAGAAAACTCATTATCGTTGCGAAGAAAGTAAGAAGCGCATACAGTCCTTATGTTTCCCACGGCCATCGTCACCGCGTTTTGCAGCTGCTCGTGGGCCACAACCTTTTTCATCTTTCGACTGTGTCACCCTGTTGTGCAGAGTAAGTGAAAAGATTGACTGGACGCACTGTATCTCGTTGAATTGTTACAAAACTAAAGTTATTTAGCGTCCGAACGTAAGGATCTGGCTTTTGATGGGAGTCGTAGCAGCGGACTTTGAATGCCGACTACTGGCGGGATTCTTCAGCGCGCGCTTGAAGGTTGTAACACGAGCGTCTTCGCATTGCCTACCTGTCTTGTGTGACCATGACCAAGGGAATCAAACCCTGGCCTCATATTTAACATGAAGCCATATTGACTGAGCCAGGGCTAATTGTCTGAAATTAATTATGACAATAACTATATTAGTACGGTACATTCGATGGGTCATTTGAGCAATGGGTTCTACCACTCAGTGTCTTTCATCACGTTTGGTCACGTAACACGGCTTTGGCATGTTCTCGATGAAATCATAATGAAGCTGAGGAATTTAGAATACTTAGCGAGCATTACAGAACATTCGCTAGTACCGCTATGACAAATAGCGAAAAGTGCATGCACCGCAGCCGAGAAAGTTTTATGCCGCATAATGAGTAATACTTAAAATTGTCCACTGTCATAAAAACGGGTAAGTTGGTTTTTGGTGATGACTTTTGGCGTATTGTTACTTGTATACGTTCGTTGTATATAGTTACCCTTCTTTTGTCGGCTGACATATAAAAGCAATTTCACCCTGAGGGGTACATTTTGCGTATGCAGCAACAATCTCCCTCTGGCTTGCTTACGTTTCCGTCCATCAAGACTAAACAAGCGGTACATTAAGGTCCCGTGCTCTATTCACCTAACATAACGTTCTTAACAGGCAAGCGTGGTGTATACTAAGGAAGCGAAAGCAATGCCGGTGGTTATTATCGTGAATCGAGGATACTCCTCAGAGGATCGACATAATGTAACGTGTTGGAGTGTGTACCTAACATATATCAGTATGGTTTAAATGTGTCTTGCTGGCACGTAACAGATTTGTGGTGTTCGTGCTTGAGAAACTCGCGAGGAAAGTAACATTGAAGGCAGCTGGCAACAGCAAACAACGAAGAAATGGCGGTATACACAAGTTATTTCACCCAGCTTGTGCCTCTATAGTACTAACAAGAGCAAATGCTAGTGCGGCAAGTGTCAAATTGGCCCGGTATTGTACTGAGCCATACGTAGCATGTCAGGATACCTTCTTCCGATCCTCCAAGCCGAATAATAAGAAAAGTATTACTTAATTAACATTTTAATTAAAAGAATATCTAAAATATTCAACGCAAAAGTTGCAGCGCTTCTCCTTAAGCACCCGAATATTTCGTCCATGCAAAGAAAACTATCGATTCGATAACTTGAGTAATTAACAAAGACTGCTAAATAGCTAAACAATAAAATAATTACTTTTGCGAAAAATATTTATTACAAAATATTTTAACGTCTGTTCAGCAACGTCAAAAAAATTTATCAATACTAATACGGGTGCCATGCTTAATTTTCTTCCATTTTTTCCTAATAATGCGCGAAGTTAAAAAGTATACACTTAGCGCCAGTTAACTAGAACAACCTGTATTTGTCCAGCACTGTGTACCATCTTTTTTCTATGTGTTTGTCATTTGTCCATTTTAAAAGACTGCTGTACCACGAGGACATCAATAACTTGTTGCGGCTTTTTTTCTACGAAGCCTCCGCTACGGCGCCCTCCACTGCGGCGTCTTTCATAATCAAATCATAGTTGTGGGACGTAAAACGCCAATTATTATTATTATTATTATTATTATTATTATTATTATTATTATTACCTTTTTAGTGCCTTGTCATAGCATTTTAACAGAAATGTCTAGTACTTTAACACTGCAGAAGACGCTTCTTCGCCTCGAGAAAACAGACAATGAAAATGTGGCGAAAAAGTCCGGAATTATGGATAGTGGTACGTGCGAAATGCATCACGTGACTTGATCCCATTTATTCGTTGATAGGTGCGGTTTAACGTCCCAAAAGGAACCGATAAGATAATCATCGATGATATACAAAATATAGCAAGATCAGTTTCTCTAGATTGCGAGTTGCCTAAGGCAGTGTGAATTCTGGGAGCAATTACGACAAAGCATGTTGAATAGGAAAACGCCAATATTCGTGTACTTCCTGGTGTATTTAATGACTGAAACTGCGGTATCGTAGAAGTTTGCTCGAAGTTGCCGTTTACAGCAGGGAGTTTACGTCCTCCGCGCGAGACACAAAGAGAAAAAAGTGGCTACGGTAGTGAAAGTGCTCCGATATAGCGTGTGGTAAGCGCCAGCGATCAGCGTGCCGCGAATTCATGTACCCGGCGCCGATAGCGACGGCTGGCAGACGCGGGATGGTGCACTCGAAGACCGTGAGTGGGACAGTAGGCGCCGGCAGCGCCCCAGCTTCGCCTGCCGGCCGCCGGGGGCGGCCCTATCAGCAGCCCGTGGCGGCGCGCCGCTCTCACTGACGTCCGTCTTCATCCGGGAGTGTTTGTCGCCGTCGGCTGCTGTTCGCGACTCCGAATGATTCAATCGAAACGAGCGCGGGGTTGAATGCATCGCCCTGACACGCTTCCTCTCTCGCACGTTTACCAGAGCGCGCGGCTGGCATGTGACAGCGCCCCGTCGTCGTCGTCGAGCCCGAGTGCGAGAATGAGCGGCGAAAAGTTTCCCGACATCCGAGTCGTGGTCGGGATTCAGTATTTCAGCGATGTGCCGGCCTCGACCAAGTGCCAGCCCACGGTGCTGGGAGCCGTGGTTCTCGAGAGTAGTGCTATCAGTGCGGACGAACTGCGGCGCATCATGTGCGACCAGCTACCCTCGCTGCCGACCCACTTCACTTTCGTCACCAAGGAGAGGTGAGTGCTGTGATCGAGTGCGTGGATGAGACCGGCGTGCCACAGGTGGACGTGTTTGGACCGGTGTGATCCCAACGCGGCCACCGGTGCGTGCCGGACGCTTCCTCTCCTGAATTATGAGATTTATTTTGCCTTATTTTCCATCTGTCTCGGTTGTTCTCGAGCTAGCGTGCAGTAACGAGAGAGATAAATACAAGGGAAGTTAACCAAACGCACGTCCGAGATTGCAGTAAGCGCTTCGTGTTCACCTGTCAAGTGTTTATACTCCAGTTTACGCTGCGTGCGAAGGTTAGCAGTATAGCGTATATCTGGGATATGTCAGGTCACGTATGCGCTTTGTTCCTCCATGTACGCTGTTCGAAAATGACATCTCTCCGCGCCTGCAGTCAAAGACAATTTTTTATTCAGTCCACTCTGCGTGAGAGCTCGATGGCATAGCTGCGCGCAATTTTGTTTACGGCTAGCACGATTTCGCTGGGAAGCGAGCGAGGCCGGTAGCACAGCCAGGAGTATACAAAGGGGGCAAACGGCGGAAGGATGCACGTACGGGTAGACAGAGCCCCGCCGTCGACAGCGGGATCCGTACGCGAGGCTACGGTTTTGTGTGCCAGCCGAGCCAACCTTGACCAGCGGCATTAATGTTGCAAAAAACTGAGGCAGGCGCGCGAATGACGGATGCACTGGGCGCCCCGGCTACCGGCCTGTCACGCCGGCGGCGAGGAGTTCATTCACCGAACCGAAACGGGCGCCTGCCGCCGGGCGAATTCCTGCTTGTCTCCCACCAGGTCTGCGAGCGAAAGCACCGGCGCCACGTTTTTATTTTTCTGGGTCTCGACGCACTTGCGCGACGGACGAGCATGCTGAGCGTTTTTCTCCTTTCTCCCCTCTCAATATCTCTCACCGTACGTGTTTGCAGCGCTTCATCGGGTAATTGCTTTGCTTGCACGCGGTCATGAGGGGTGTACTGTCAAGTCTCGCAGGAGGAGCCGCGCGCGGTTGCTGGAAAGCGCCCAAAACATTTCTCGATCCGGAATCCCCGTCCCGCGAGACGCGACGCGGCTTTCTGTGCAGTGTTTGTTTCCGAGCCTCTTATCGGGCCTGCGGTCTGGCTTTTAGAGTTTATTGGTGCCTGGGCCGTGGGGATGGCGGCACAAGGACGAGATCGGGAAAACCGTGTGCATAATGTTTGTTTTCTATGTCGGAATGGGTCTGCTTAATCAGCGGGACGTTCATGACGTGGAAAGTTCGAAGGAGAAGGCGACCGGTGATGGCACTGGTCACTGGAGAATAAATGCACGCACGCAGCGCTTTACGTAGCCACAAAAGTGGCGCTGTTTAGAAATAAAAAAAATGATGATATAAACCGAAGCAAGTACAACGTCCGTATTCCATGAAAAGTGCTGTGTCTACTTCAGTATCAGGCCAGATGCAGGACTAGCGCCATGTGGAGCATTGAGTACTAGGCGTAAACTAATGCTGATAGATTTGTGCGAGAGTGAACGCCGTTACTTACATAAACGGAGTGATTTTTTTAAACGCAGAACCAAAAACAACGTAAAGCACGAGTAATGTAGTACGAATGCAGACCCGCATTATTTATTTTCTTTGTAAGGGCGACTCGCGGTCGTCAATCACCGCTCTGCGATCGTCTCCCCATCGCACTTCTCTAGAGCATGAAAAACCTTTCTTACGCAAAAGCATTTTTTGTTGCTTTTCGTTTCAGTCAGAATTTCAGAGGGCAGTGAAACTAGTAGAAAAAATGTCGCCAGCATTTTGTGTGGATTGAAGAGTTATCTCGTGGGGCTTAGAGTTCTGTAACTTTGTCTCTTATAGACTTCTGAACACGTCCCTTGTTCGATTCCAGGTCGTGGCGGCCGCATATATTTCAGGCCGGGATCACAAAAGCTCACGTATTTGAGGGCGACACCAGGGCGATAAATATAAAACTGGAGAAGTCAACAAGGCAATACGCCTTATTGACTTGGCACAGCGCGCTGAGCACTGTCCAGATGCAAAACCACACAACTTTGTAACCAACTGGTTCTGCTCAATTGAATCTTAGAATGGCCGATACGCCTAAGAGGGCTATATGCAGGTTTGCGACGTCCAGGCACTTCTTTACTGACCGCACTAAACCAACCGGACTGTTGAAGAGCGTTATCTGAAACGGAAATATTTGGACCCTGCAGCTCATCGGCTAATGATGCAGAATGCCAGTAGTGCCTGATTGCAGTCCTTCTGTGCGTGGGTGCAGGGCTCGCTCTTTCTCTCTCTTTCCAGTGTGGGGTAGCAAATAGTACGCTTGTCTGGTTGACCTCGCCCCTCCTCTTTATTCCCCCTTTCTCTTTGTGGTGCTCCATCAATTGACACTACGTGGCCTGCTAAGGTATGAGCCTGCATGGCATGCACAATTCTAAAACACTACCTTACCGCTGAGAGCGCCCTGCTGCCCCGGAGAATTTTTGCCTAGTTTACCGAAAGTACTGGACCCGAGAGTTGTGGAAGACTGGAGTTCAGTTAAGTAAATTAATGAATTCATAATTATTGTTTGCTATGCGCTTCTTACGCATACACTAGTTCATTCCAGCTGTGTACGATACACGTGTAGCACAAAACACAACTGTTAATTTCTGCTGCTGCTAAGGCATGCGCATTGTAATCATGATGCATAGTTGTCGCAGTGCTCACGCGAGATGATTCTTTCCGGCGGGACGTCGTGGTGGCACCAGAGCGAGGGGTCTTCAGCTTAAAGATCGTAGACGGCACAGATACGACACATATAGCGGGTACTTGCCGTCGGTGTTCTCGTTCCCTAGTCGTGGTCTACACTCCGTATACTTTTGTTCCAAAACTATTCCACCGCTCCCTCAGTTCAGGCTGCATTAGCACACGCGCGCATGTCGGACTTGCTGCGTGCAATTCTACAAAGGTATAAGCGTGAAGCCTCTGTAACTGGTATCTCGCTAATACCTGTGGCTGTAACCTTCCGTTGCCCTCGGAATGTCGGTGATTTTCGGTTTGACTGAAGGTGGCGTTTGTACATATAATCTACGCGAATTCGGGCACCTATGTTGTCCGAAGGTTCAGTTATTTTGGGGAAAGAAACTAAAACAAAAACTTGCAAAGAGAAGCTGAGTGAGGTCATCGCAGGTTTCGTTAGACGAATGGACCAGAAGCACGTCATTAAAGAGTTCTTCACCGCCAAGACCTGTCTCTCCGTCTCCAACTCCAAGACCCTTTCTATCTGGATTTGACCGATCTTAGACAGCCGTTTTTGGTTGGTGTGTCAATTACGAATAGCCTCAGAATATAAGTGCTGTTTGTGATCATTGCGACCGCGAGGAAATCATTGAACACTTTCTCAGTTCTCGCTACAGCCCCCGCAGGATGTCTCTGCGCACTTCTTAGCACGCGCCGAATAGCTTATTGATAAATTTATCTTAAAACACCGGGACGTTCAAACTGTCAAGTCGCAGCCAGAAATTTTGTTCAAGGCGGGAAGGGGGAGGGTAGAGAGTCTTCTACACTTTAACCATTCGTTAGGTTCGTGTGTGTGTGTGTGTTGATGGCTCTCTCTGTCGCGTTTTTGTTTTGTTTAGTTTTTCTTTTTTTCTTTCCTTACGTTTCCCAGTGAAGGTTAGAAAACTAGATATATATCTTTCAGTTCATCTTATCAACGATCTTATCTGTCTCTCTGAGAGACCGTCAAGGGTGGTGAGCTGCACTTCGTGCACTTCATGCACCTTAGTTATTTTAGTGTTAGGTATTTTTAATTTTAGGTGTTTTACTATCAGTGTCCACTCTAGTATTGACACTAAAAATTGTTTCATATAGTAGCCTTGTGAAGCAGTGTATTATCTTTTTGGTGGGAAAAAGAGGGAGTGCTTTTGGTACAATGTATTTGTTTTTTCGGTCTATAGCTAGTCTGTCGGCTTTAGTTAATCACCGTGCTGGCGCGTACGTTTCTGTCATGACTCGTAATAATGTCACTAGTAGCGTGTGCATCGGGACACGTCCTGAAATAGCGGGTGTCCAAACCCGCCCCTTTATTTGTTTTCCCCCTCTTTGTCCAAAATTATGTGAGGCCATGGTCACGCAAGCCGCTGATGCCGGCCAGCGGTGTTGTTTACGCATCTACAGAGAGCAGCATTTTGTTGTGTGCTGCCCGCCCGACCAACCTCCTTGTAAAAAGGATAATGAAGGCCGAAAAATAGGCGCTGTTTATCGAATTTCACCTGCTTTCTGGGTGCTGCACTGCGTAGCGCTGCTTCAGTTTTTTTGTCGCGCTATCGTTGAAATCCCGAGTAAGAGCTTGCTCGAAGCATTTTGCTAATAAAAGATATTCACGGCGAGTAATTGCAGGAAGATCAGCGTTTCGTTGCCAAGCCTCCAGAGCTTCGCGAAAACTCTTTTGACATGCAAGAAGTTGCTTTCAGAAGTACTTGCTGTTGAACTAGTCGTTTCATACTGACTACCGACCGTAACAGAATGGCCACATAGCGCCGAACAAAGAAATACGGAGGGGAAGGAACAAGGCATACCTTCTGCCATTCCACTCCCTCTTTATTTTGTTCATCATGTATCCATAGTGTTATCTATGGGGCCGAACTCATGAAACCTCTCTTTTATTAGCGCATTTCCCCATTATTCAGCCGGCTTCGCTAATTATATGTCTCGCAACCTGGTCGGTTCAAGTATTCTCTTACGCAAATATTTAGCGTAAGATGTTTTTATGCATATGGGCTATGGTCAGCGTACGACTTGGGTGCGAAGTATTGAGCTCATGGATAGATGAAGCTCTTCGTGCAAGTGGCCCTGCGCGTCTTGTCTCTGCTTGTGCTATATATTGTCAACGGCCCCTATATTAAGGAGAAAAAAAAAGTTCTTACGCCGTTTTTGTTCGTAAGAGCAGGTCCCGAATTCACGAAAGCCTCTTACTCTAGACAAGAATTGAGTGGATCCTGACGCTGGGCATAGCGAAGGTAGCTGGCCAGTTGCGG